CATAAAATAAATAAATCTCACACACACACACACACACACACACGACTTGCAACAGAATGTTCACCATAATTAAAAGTCCATCTTTTTCCCCTTTATTAAACTGATTCCCTCTCAAAAGAAAACATCCGCTTCTACGGAAGCCCCGAGTCGCGTCCTTTGTTTCCTAGCAACCAGATGCGGAGTTTCTACCGTCTCCGGCGGAACGCGAGTCCGTTTCAAACGTTTCAAAGCGGACGCTACGCTTGAGTCGAGATGTTTAACGTTGAGTTAACTTCCGAGCGAATCGCCAGAGAACGTCTGGAAACACGTCGCAAACGCGAGGCTGAAAGGCAGGAGAGGATTTTTAAAGAAAAAGTGAGAACGATCGGGGTAAGTTGGTGTCGCTAGAAACAGCACGGCGTTTATGAGCTTCAGCCACCTAAATGTGCGGGTTTGTTTCGCAGGTTGATGTGAAAGCTTTAGACATGCAGGTGGAAGAGAAGAAGGCACGGGAAGGAGCCGCAAGGACCAAAGAAGCAGCCTACGGTTAGTTACGGAACTGTCGCTTCCTGATGACGTCACATGCCCGGGGTCACCCAAGAAAAATAAACAATTTACCCTTTTATATTTCTGAAACATAGCATCATAATCATGAATTACTGATTTTTTTAGCAATATATAATTTATTTTATGTACGTTTACCTAATAAAGTATTTAATGTCATATAACAATAATAAAGTATTTAATGTGTTATCACATATAACAATAATAAAGTATTTAATGTGTTATCACATATAACAATAATAAAGTATTTAATGTGTTATCATATATAACAATAATAAAGTATTTAATGTGTTATCATATAACAATAATAAAGTATTTAATGTGTTATCACATATAACAATAATAAAGTATTTAATGTGTTATCACATATAACAATAATAAAGTATTTAATGTGTTATCACATATAACAATAATAAAGTATTTAATGTGTTATCATATAACAATAATAAAGTATTTAATGTGTTATCATATAACAATAATAAAGTATTTAATGTGTTATCACATATAACAATAATAAAGTATTTAATGTGTTATCATATAACAATAATAAAGTATTTAATGTATTATCACATATAACAATAATAAAGTATTTAATGTGTTATCATATAACAATAATAAAGTATTTAATGTGTTATCATATATAACAATAATAAAGTATTTAATGTGTTATCATATAACAATAATAAAGTATTTAATGTGTTATCACATATAACAATAATAAAGTATTTAATGTGTTATCACATATAACAATAATAAAGTATTTAATGTGTTATCACATATAACAATAATAAAGTATTTAATGTGTTATCATATAACAATAATAAAGTATTTAATGTGTTATCACATATAACAATAATAAAGTATTTAATGTGTTATCATATAACAATAATAAAGTATTTAATGTGTTATCATATAACAATAATAAAGTATTTAATGTGTTATCATATAACAATAATAAAGTATTTAATGTGTTATCATATAACAATAATAAAGTATTTAATGTGTTATCACATATAACAATAATAAAGTATTTAATGTGTTATCACATATAACAATAATAAAGTATTTAATGTGTTATCACATATAACAATAATAAAGTATTTAATGTGTTATCATATAACAATAATAAAGTATTTAATGTGTTATCATATAACAATAATAAATTAAATCTATTCAGCATTTCACATTAGCAGCAATCAGATTCTCAACCACAGGATTCAATCCTGCTGGTTATTAGGTCTTTTCCCCTGTTGACACAGAATTGTCAAAAACATGGAAATAAATAAATCAGATAAGATGTTTAACTCGTTGTGTTAAAAGGTTCATTGTGAAATTTGGTTTTGTTATACTGTAATAAATGGATTCATTTTTAAAGTATGTGCTCTTAAAAGCAGATGCTGAAGATCGCCGATACAACTTTGAAGCCTGCGTCCACCAAAATAGACAAAAGAAGAAGAGTCGTGAGATGGAAAAGGCCTTGGTGAATTACAGGCATCAGCACCAGATGCCTTCGACCCGGAGAGAGTTTGATCTGAATGATCCCGACTGCTACAGGAAACTTGATCCAGGTGATGCTCAGATGATGCTCCCTGGCCTGGCGGGTGAGGAGCAGGACAGCAAGAGCAGGCTGAAGAGGCAGAAAGAGCAGCTCAGGGAGTGGCTCCTCTGTCAGCAGAAAGAGCACGAAGAAGAAATGCTACGGCAAAAGATGGAAGGTTAGTGCTTTTCTCATTTGGGACACGGAGGCTAAATTCAAGCACGTATCTCACGAACCTGTCTTCCATGTTAAACGTCAGGGTGGCAGTATGAACAAAGCAGAAAAGAAATGCACGACTTAGCTGTAGAGCTTCACAAATTAGAGATGGACAGGAAGAAGGCCACCGCCGTTGCCGTCAAAGACTACAATCTAGCTGCGGTAAGACAGTCAGACTTTTACCAACCTCTCTGTGTCAAACCATAGAAGACACTGTTCATGTTTTCTTCTTGGTCAGGCTGAGGCAAGGCAAACTGAGGAAAAAGAGGGTAATAAAGGGTATGACGGCTCACAGCAGCATGCCCTGGACATGGTGCCTGGTATGTGTCCCAGCCAGGACAGGAGAGAGCCCCCCGAGAGCCTGCAACAGGTCGTTCAGTTCCAGAAGCACCAGATCGAGGAGAAGAAGGTAAAACAAGGATAGAAACACGACATCTGTTTAGTCATTTGCTGAAGTGGGACTTGTGTGGATTCTTAGAGGACTGAGTTGGAGAAAAAGCAGGAGGGGGATTTGTACAATCGGATCCGTTTGGACTCGGTTCATTCGGCTCTGCTGATGGAGAGGCAGCAGAAAAGGCTAAGCAAGCAGCTGAGGAGAATCCAGGACAGCACCAACGCTCAACTGGCCCAAACACGCAGACAGCAGTACGTCACAACGTTCTCTCGCACCGTTTGTGCTTTCTGAGTGAATCTTTTGTCATTCTCAGGAAGCCAGACATGGAAAGAGGATGCATCGAAGACACCTTCTTCTCCAAATTCAACACCTGCAGCAGATGATGGATGACCGTTAAAACTACTCGAGTCAAACAATTAAAGTAGATCAAATTATTAGTTGACAGGTTTTGTTGTCTTGTTTAAAAGCATTTGATTAGAGACCAGCAAAGGTGGGATGTGCAGTTCCCGCCGCAGGTTTGATCTTACATCCACATCAAATATCCACGGATGAAAAAGTCAAATCATTCTTTTTTTTTTAATCATTAATCTTCCTCACAGACTTATTCCATGATTTGAACACATTCAAGCAGAATGATTTTATTATTTATCACCATGTAACAGCGCAGCGTCGCAGGCGGCCATTCAAAAACTAGTTCCTGTTATTCAACAGGGTCCAGATCTCAGACTCCGTCTCAACAAGCATAAAAATGATGAAACGAGTTAATCTGTGAAAGAGCCGGATTCAAACTTAAGAAGAAAATCAGACTAAAATAAATCATTTATGGGAAAACTGCTGCAAACAACATCTCATTCTTCTGTTGACCTTTCTGTGACCTTTAAGGGTTGTGTGCAACTCAAACATCTTTAAGAAAATCAGTTTTCTATCATTTGGCTCAAATACCGACGGGAGAATATTTAGATCCTGCATGAAGTTCTTAAAGTGCAACGACACAAAAGTCCAAATCAAACCAGAGATTTTAAAACGTGGCTTTCTTCCACACAGTTACCGGTTATCACACACACCCACACACACACACACTAGTTATGCACCAGCAATCAAAAAGCACGAGTCTTTGTTTTCTGACAGCAAAGCACAAACAAACAAACAAACAAACAAAGACGACTCTCCTTTTCTAGCATCTTATAAATCCAACAGTCATGTTTTGATGACAGAAAGAATTTCTTCATGTGAACCAACCTTTGCAGCCTCACTGTGAGGCCACACGGCGCCCTCTGCTGGCAGAAACATGAACGTGAAGAACACGTTGGGGTTGAGATCAGAAGAATTGTTCTACTTTGAAAAAGTCCATTTAGAGACAAATTTCTGCCATCTTCTCTGCCACAGGCCCAGTGCTTTCTCCTGTTGCTCTGACTCTAAAGAACTATACCTAGAAGACAAAAAGAGAACAAATCAGGATCAACACGCCACGTGGTTCAACCACAGCCTGTAAGTCACATCTCACCTGATGGAGTTCATCGCCAGCTGCTTAAGGGAGCCGATGTGGGACTTGATGCCTCCAAAACCCACAAAAGCTTCATAGAAGTCATACGAGAGACCAGAGGCGCCAAACATGGCCGGATCATCAGAGCTGATGACGACTGGGTGACTTTCTGACATCAGTGCTGCTGCGGGATGGTTTCGTAGATCTTTTACAAGCTTTAACACCTAAACAGGATGGATGAGGATATCTATATTACACAAGATTTACAGCTGGAGGACAGATGTTCCAACGTACCTGGTTGGAGATGGGACACACTTCCACAGCCACTCCTTTCTTCCTGGATAAGTCTTTGGCCACCGGATGGTGAAGCAGAGCAAATCCGTGGCCGATGCGTGACGTGTTCAAGAGCAGAGCATCTAACAAGTTCTGGTCCACGTCAGTGCCCTCCAGATCTGCATGAAGTCAAACAAACTGCTGTAGAGGGACGGAGCTTTTCTGCCACCGCTTCATCACAAACTGGTTTTACGCTCAGGGTCAGGGTCAGCTTTATGGGTCAGGGTCAGGGTCAGCTTTATGGGTCAGGGTCAGGGTCAGCTTTATGGAAACTGCATCGTTTGTTTTCAGAGGAAAGCACCAACGGACTCACCCGTTTCTCCAGCATGGAAAAAGTAAGGAAGCGTGATCCCCTTCTCAGCAGGCAGAGACAAGGCATCTCTGAAATACCACAGGGGCCTGCCTCGGTCCTCCCGACCCACCTGTAGGTACAGAAGCTGTGATGCACCCGGGTCGGTGAAGGTATTTACGGCTACAGCACCACTAAAGAAGCACTAGTGCAGCCTGAGATTGTTGGATCTCACCAGATCGAACCCAGCCATGAAATCAGGGAAGCTCTTCTTCAGCTCCATCGCTTCCTCCACAGCTCCAGCCATCACCGACGCGTTCACACCTCTGAAGTTCAGACATATTCACATTAAACGACCCATAACAAACAATAATGGGTCCAGTTCATTTTCAAAGGATTCTCAGCGGTCACCTGTGGATTGTGGCAATGACTCTCACACCAAGGAAGTCTGGATGGTTGGTTGTGAACTGCCTGGTGACGTCCTGGTAGGTCTTCAGAGTCCAGGCTCTGCTGTGGGTGCTGCCGTCTAACTCGTATACCTGAGCAGCGAAGATTCCCATGACAACCAGACAGGTGGCAGGATGGACAGGTCAGACACCAACGAGGTTACGGTACCTCTGGGAGGAGCGCGCGCAGTTCCAGATACATGACGTTGTCCACGTAGAACTGAGTCAGGCCTTGGTAGAAGTAGTCTCTGAACACGGGGGCGTAAGTAACCAGACCCCACACGGCAAGGAAGGCCTGCTCAAACTTTTCCCAAACCACATCCTGAGTGGGATACACCACTTCTGGATCCCGACTGGTGAAAAGCGTCAGGTTGTGTGTGATGCTGAGGGAGCAGAAAGGGACATTTATAAAGCATTTCCTATCACAGCTAACCTCTCGACGAGTGTTGAGGAAACAAATGTAGGTTTAGTTCTTGTGAAATGAATCATCTGCTAACCCTAACCTGTCGTCCAGATCTGTGGAGTTCACCATCTTGGCCCGGAGGTTTTCCAGCAGGACCCAGGGAGAGCAATGCGACAAAGGTCTGGGTGTCTGAGCGGAGAAGATGAACCTGACCGACTGGTTGTCAGTACCACACATGTAGCAGTGTGGGCGGTACGTCACATTCTGCACCAGCCAATCAACGTCCACCATGGAAAAGTCGTGGACATGAAGAGCGCCGCCTGAAAACCCGACATTCTGAATTACAGAAACATTAAACAAGGGAAGCTGCCAGAGGTGGAAAGTAACAAATTACATTTACTCACGTTACTGTAACTGAGTAGCTTTTTTGTTTATTTATACTTTTTAAGTTGTTTTTTTATCTGTACTTTTACTTTTACTTGAGTAAGTTTTTAAAAAAGAATTGTAATTCGCTACATTTTAAATCATCCGTTACTGAGTAAAAACAAACTGTAGGCTTAATCAATTAAAAATATTATGTGTAGCAGCGTCGGAACAGAGAGAGACACCTGCATGAGCGCCGCGTCTAACCCGTATGTGTGTGTGTGTGTGTGTGGGGGGGGGGGGGGGACGTTTTAGATAAAGAGGACAAACGGCCATTTTTACCGCAGTTTTGCTCAAAAACATCAGTTCAGTCCCTGTGATCCACTCGCTGTTCACCTCCTCTCTCCCTCCTCTCCTGTGGGTTGGATCCCGCACCTTCGCGCACCGGTGTGACGTCATCAGAATTCTGCTCGGTTCGGTAGCCGGACTTGGTTCCTTGTTTGAATTGTGTTTCTCTACCGCTCCGCACGGCAGCGGCAAAATAACGTTCAGCGCTCATAACAAGCAGATTATCAGCGCTCTGCTCATAAAACAGGATACCTGCAGGCCTCCGTGAGTTAAACATCCTGATACTGTTCAGGTGTAAACATTCTGCTCCATCCCTGTGTTTGAACTCAGAAGATGCTGCTTGATGCCACACATATGTGATGATTTAGCTTGTTTCTTTATTTTACTCCAGAATAAGAGATTAAAGTATTACTAAAGCAGTTCAGTGTAGTTCAATTAGTCATGGTGTGTGTGTGTGTGTGTGTGTGTGTGTGTGTGTGTGTGTGTGTGTGTGTGTGTGTGTGTGTGTGTGTGTGTGTGTGTGTGTGTGTGTGTGTGTGTGTGTGTGTGTGTGTGTTACACATATAGATCTGCATGAGACAGCGTGGTTTCATCAAATCCATGCATCTTATATCTTGGCTGCAGTAACGGCTCAGGAAAATAACTTCTATTTCATAAATAATGACGTCTCTGCAGTGTTTATGATAATGTTTTATCTTATCTTTGGTCTGGGAGTTGTAACATATCATGATACACGCCTTTTAAAACATGTTAAAGTGTTACAAGAGGAGATGAATGCATGAATTTAAAGTTCATGTTTGGAGACCAACCTTCACAGTGTGGAGGCTCACGCTGGTGAGGAGACACCGTTAGTTCTAGTAACACCTGGGCTCCCAAGGCCTGTTCTGACAGGATGGACGTTACGGGACCCTTAAGGATTCCAGTTGGATGATTGGAGGATTATTTAGGAGGACTGGAATGAACTAACTGGTTTCAGTGGTGAAGGGTTAAAGGTATTGGCTCGGCATTAAAACTGTAGAAATGCTAAATAACTACACTTTATTATCTATATAAACATGTACTGGGTCCAGTTTTTTATTTTATTAAGGACTTTTGTCATAAATCATTACAGAAAATCCAAATCCTCTCCTCCAGACAGTGAAGAACTGTGTTTCGCATACATCACTCCAGCACGTAAAACAAGCTAGCTGCTGATGCTAATATTGTGAATCACTGTTATTTGTTTACTTTCATGCTCCTAATCATTACGTAAAATTGTGTTTACAGCTGCAGCAAAAGGTCTGAGCCATGTGTCTGTGTCCTACACGCATTTTTAAATAACAGTTCTGATCTAAAATAATAACCTACATCTATAAATCCATCTAGAACCGCACTGGTACTTCTGGACTCCAGACGAGTCCCGTTAGCATGACTGCAGCAACGCTGCTAGCCGTGTTCGCTCCTGTAAGGAAAGAACAAGTCCTTTGGGAAAGCTATGACCACACACACACACACACACACACACACACACACACACACACACACACACACACACACACACACACACACACACACACACACACACACACACACACACACACACACACACACACACACACACACACACACACACACACACACACCATCTAAAAGATGATCTCTATATTTCAACATTAGAACCTCCATGACATCCTGGATTAGTGCAAACAACGAGTTGAGCTAAGGAGTTACTCCAGCATCAGGAAGATTTATTCTGGTAAATTGTTGGTTCATTATTTTCCAGAGTTATATCAATAAATACACACAGCAGTAAAACTGTAGATTACTGAACTATATTGGGACACATGATGGAGCTAAGACCAGCTGAGAACTTGTCAGCTTAGAGCTCCCAGTGGAGCACAGAAATGAAATATTTAAGAAAAGTAAACAAACTGAACCGATTTTGGTTCTGAAGATGAACAGAATCCTCCTCTATGTGCAAATCGAGTCGCAGGTCTTCTGAGTCAAACGGTCTAAAACATGTCTGCACCTCTGGTAGTGATGTCCAGCTGGCGGGGTCAGAGTTCGGTTGAACTTCTCCAGTAATCTAACATCCGTTCTGGTCGCCGTATCCCAGAGAATAAACAAATCTGATGGACTAGCAGAGGCTTCAGAAGCTACATCTGACTGATGACACATTGTTCTCTGCTATAACGCTAACGCAGAAACAGCGGAGTCAGGTGTTGTTTACTACAGCTGTTTCAGCAGAGCTCCATGTGAAACGTCACCAGCTGCCCAGGGCTTAGACCAGAAGTTAGCTTCTGTTTTTCCCGCGCCGGTCACAAACATCAGATTTTCTTACAATTCCAGCCGTCAAGATCCAAAAACCTTTTTCATCTGAGGTTTTAATACACATTTACACATGCTGTTCAAACGAATCTTGCCTCTGGCCGATATCTTTAAATGAGTGAGTGAACCCACTACCAAGGATGAACTCTGCTAGCTTTAAAAATCAGCTGCTCTACATAAGCATGAAGGTCAGAGAGGAGCTCTAGGATGGACATGGATAAAGGAACTGTAATGTAGAGGTAAAGTAGGGCAGGGCCAACGTTAGCAGCTGTCATACGCTCCATCTGAAATGTTTGACTGCATTAGGCTTGTTATGTGACAGGTTAGAGCACAGTCTCATGTTAGAGTGTTGTCATGAGAACATTGAGATACCTCACATGCTGATGGGAGCTAAAAATCAACTTTTTTTTTCAAAATAAAGAATAATTTTAATCACAATTGAAATGTGGGGCTGCGCAGTGGAGCAGTGGTTAGAGCTGTTGTCTTGCAGCAAGAAGGTCCTGGGTTTGCTTCCTGGCCTGGGATCTTTCTGCATGGAGTTAGCATGTTCTCCCTGTGCATGCGTGGGTTCTCCGGCTTCCTCCCACAGTCCAAAAACATGACTGTTAGGTTGATTGGTCTGTCTAAATTGTCCTTAGGTGTGTGTGTGTGTGTGTGTGTGCGCGCGCGTGAGTGTGTGTGTGTGTGCATGAGTGATTGTCCAGTGTCTCCGTGTTGCCCTGCGATGGACTGGCTCTCTGTCCAGGGTGTACCCCATTGACCGCTGGAGATAGGCACCAACCAACCAACCAACCCCCCCCCCCCCCCCCCCCCCGGCGCAACCCTGCGTGGACAAAGCGGGTTCAGAAAATGGATGGATGGACAATTGAAACGTACAATCCTAGAAAAACCTCGTCCAATCAATGTGCACGTCCTGTTCTCACTGGATAGAAATCCTTCCATCAAACTGTGTGTGTGTGTGTGTGCGTGCACACACGAGCGTGTTGTGAACTGGTGTTGTGGTTTTGCACTGATGTAACCATCTTTACGCTGACAAAAATGTAACTAAGTAACTTTTACTTTGAGTACATTTTATTTACAATACTTTTTACTTTTACTTGAGTAAAAACTTAAGCAAGTACTTTTACTTGTACTTGGGTAAAAAATTATCAAAGTACTGGTACTCGTACTTAAGTAGGAAATTTTAGTACTCTTTCCACCTCTGGAACCTACATAATATTCCTTTTAAATTTTTGGGGTCAAATCTTGTACATTAATTATGCACCGCATCATGCAACATTGCAATATCTTGCACAGACCGTTAGCGCTTATGCGTCACGTTCTGCAGGAGTCTCATAACCTGGAAAGCCAGACTAAATAAATAAATTATTTAAACTTTGCAAAGCAAGAATTTGGTCTAGTTCACTAGGCTAGGACTCTCATGTACCAACACACCAAATTAGCGCTGTTGATGTGACACAGTTAGCATAAAAGTGTGTTTGTGTTTGCTGAGCTCGACTAGGGTCATGGCCATTTTTTAATTTTCTTAATTGTAGCAGCAATCTTTGAGTGGACTTCCTTGAAAAATGAAATGTGGTGCCAAAATGTTACACAAAGCAATGGGGGGGGGGGGGGGGGGGGTCGTCCGTAGCTGTTTTACGTTTTTAAGAACCAATAGCAGCATATCAATATTTGCATTCTTTAAAGGTTTTAAGGTTAAATGTTGGAATGCAAAAAGTTGCAGGGTGGCTGAATACCTTTAGGCATCTTTTGCAGCAGTTTGAAGATGGGACTGGTTCTGATGAGGTCTCTGGCCTTGAAAAAATGCACCGCAGGAGGAAACTCCGCCCTGGCCGTCTCCTCCTGCTTCATCTTGAACAGGAGAGCATCCAGCTGCTGCTCAGCCTCGGTCAGAACCATCTGCCCACCTGTCTGCATGAAGGCCTCCAGCTGGATGAGCGCTTCTCTGTGTCTGGGGTCTGGGATGGACCATGCACCTGTCAGGTAGCAGAGCAACAGCCACACCCCGGCCACGTGGGGGCGCTGTTGTAGCTGAACTGTCATCGGGAGAGCTGGAGAGAACAAAGCGGATATTAATAAACTGCCTGAATCCTAAAGAGTCTGGAAGAGGCCTGTTTGTTTGCAGAATTGAAAACTGATGTTCCGCATCAAGTGGGACAAAAATAAATCTTAAGTTGCGAAACAGCGGGAAGAAAAGGAAGTAGATCCGCAGCTGTTGCGTCTACGAGCTGGTTTAGCTAACCCTACGAGCCACACGTTCGGCTAATTTACCTAAAGTCAAAATTAAACAAACCCTGAGGGGTCAGTGACGAGAAGGGAAGATATGAACGTTCGATGATAAAAAAAAATAAGAAACGTTACTTTACCTACTTTATCAGCTTTAATCGCAGCTGGAAACAGTTCTGTGGATAATACCCAGCTTCAACAGCAAGACTTAAAATCAGAGCCCATTAAAGGCTTTTCTCCGTGGTGTCAGTTAAACTTTTGTGTTTCCCGTTGTTCGGTAGCGTTTTTTAATACAGATGCATTTTTAAAATAAAAACATAATCGAAGTTTAAGCCGTAAACCTTCGGTGGGAAAAGCGACGATCTGCTTTACCGATTCTTGCTAGTGCTGCTTGTTTTTCTTCCCAGTGAGTTGTCTTCAAGGCAACAAAGCTCCGCCCTCTTTACTGTGATTGGCTTAACGGTCACAGTTCTGATAATCCAATTGGTTCCCGTGAAAGTGTAAACAGATCTCTGTAAGACAAAACACCGGTAAAATGTCTCAGTAAATTAGTTTTTGGGAAAGCTTCCAACTAAATTTAATCCGTTAACTTATATTTTTATACATATTTTAGACAAAATTAAACGGAAAATGCAAATAGAAACATGTTTTGATTTGACTTATAATTTAATATAAAATATGCTTAGAAGAAAACGAATGTAACTAGATTTATTTCAGACAAATTCAGAAGTCAAAATACTAACAAATAGGATTCAGTTTTAGTTGCTTCCAAATAAAACTTAAATTCCTCTTGATCTATTAAATCTCATCAACAACAACAAAAACCCGCTAAAACAGATGGGCTATATTTTATTCTTAAATAGTTTTAGTCATACGTAAGACTTCAGGTTTTCATTCAATAGTTAATAGTTTGCATTACTGTAGAATTTTGTTTACAACAACCTGCTTAATTAGGTTGTTAAGTATCTTAATTACAAGCATCATTTGCATGCCAAGTTTGTCTCATTTAGGCCTGAACAAAAGAATAAATTAGGTGAGTAACAAGGATCCTCTTGAAGAAGCCTGCTGGTGTCACAGTCCTGACTCCAAACCAGAGCAGCATTCAGGCTGCGGACAGCGTCCATCAGGAGGACAAACACTGTTGCTGTGCTTTAATAGATGACATCACAGTCTACAGAACATTAATCTTATCCTAAGTACTTTCACCTTGAGTTTATTACACGGTTTAATAAAATGCATCATTCATGCTTATATGATGAAATCCTCAAAATAATCTAATTTAGGCTTAGAGACACAAACTTGAAAGACGAGTTCTTGCTTGAGAGAAACTGTATTTATTTCTAAGACAGCATTGACAATAATCTGTCAGTCAGATGAGAACATGTAAACGTCGCTTTAAAATGAAAGGTCTTGCTTTTTCCCCAATTCCCCCATGCTACTGAGGTAAAGAACTGTTTAAACAAAAACATCAAGAGAAAGACACCAAATTTATATTAAAACAAGTCAAAAAATGTACAAACATTTTCAAAAGAGCAAATAAATATGATTCACATTAAATCACCTAAAAGTTTTCTTTTACTAGTGCAGAGAAATGACAGTAGAGTAAAAGTGAGAACTGAACAAACGAATGGTGCCGACTACACACACACACACACACACACACACACACACACACACACACACAGACAAAAATCACCAGCTCTGGGATCTAAAGACAGCCGTCCTCAGCATGAACGAACACCGCCGTTATCGTGGCTCCACCAGACTCTTTAACAATCCCGGTAATTCTATTTTTGACAACATATCATGTTTACACCAACTCTTGTGCAACATTTACAAAAACTGCCCTTTTTCTGTCATTTCCTTATAATGTGATGCATTTCTAACCCTAAGGACACTGTTATGGTGACTGTGGCTCATTAAGGACATGTGAATGGACTCGTTAGTCTAACGAGCTGAAGGAGACCCGCGCTGGACCGTTTTATAAATACAACATCCACATTGAATGATCAACATCATATTCCCCTCCCAGATAAACATTTTGGGGCTCTTTATGATTATTTCTGTAAGCCGACACCGTAAAGAGGGTCCTAAACAAAATCGAGCGATCTGAAGTCAGGCAGTGGGGTTGTTGGTAGATGCCATACAGCAGCTGTATGAGGTAGATTCGTGTTGCTGTTGTCATAACTACACGGGAGCAGGACGAGGGAAGGGTTAAACCAAATGTAATGGCTGTTAAAACCTTTTCTAGTGGCGACTGGTCACCACCAGTTTGGGACAAATGCATAAAGAGGGGAATGAGATGAAACGAACAGTAAATTCATTTTGATCTTAGGAAAAACACACACACACACACACACACACACACACACACATTCAAAAACCAGGCAGCTTTGTGCCGACCTGCCCATTAACGACAGTGAGAAGGGACATTTAATAACCAGCATCTTCCAGTTTAAATATGCTGCTGCTGCTGCAAATGACTCAATACCCGTATCTAGTGTACACCCTGAGGATAACCTAGCATCAGCATTAGGAGGAACCACATCAAACACACCTGTAAGAGAGACAGGTGGGAGGAATGCAACAAGCGTCCACATTAAAAAGAAATCTAGTGGAAGAGATTCGTGTTTGATCTGCTCGTGTGCAACGGACCAGGAAGTGGGACATCAAAACCAGAATTACGATCCTCCTCCTCCACGGCGGACCTCAGCAGTATGAGGTTGGCATTTATATACAGTTTTCATACATTTCTACGTTTACAGACTAACAAGAAGGCCACGCGATTTCAGGATGTCCAGAATGACTAGATCCATAGTGCAGGAGAGAGAATCAGGAACGTTTGAATACAAGACGCTTCATCATGGCGTCCTTCTCTGCCACAACATTCTCTAAAAAGAAGGCAGCTCTGAAAGATGCATATGTTGTTGTTGTTGTTGTTGTTGTTTACTCAACTTGAGAAACGTTAGTTATGGTGGAAGTGGACGGTTGATGCTGCAGGTATTGTCTACACGTTCACTCATACATTCACAACAGGAACAAGGCTCACCTCATCCTCCACACCTGAGTTTAAAGGATAGAAAGCAGTAAAAGACTTCCTGTCTTGTCACAGTCCAGGGTCACATGAACAAGATGGTGACCAGTGGGCGTTAAGCCGTCCATCCTCTGGCTGTCCAGTGTTGTTGAAGGCAACGTTCCCCACGGTTCTCGCCCACACCGACACGAGGAGGCTGAAGCTTGATCTGCAGAGCTCAGAAGCGTTTCACATTTTCTTTTAAAATCAGCTGCCTGGTTGAGTGTTCGAGAGCAGCAGTGGGCAACGCTGGCAAACAGAAGGTCCGCATGTGGCTGGCTTCCTGATTCTGCCAGATGTTTGCTGATTCATCTGAGGAGGGACAGTTCAGCTACTTGAGCCTTGCAGAGATCCAGAATGCACAAAGCAGCCACCAAATACAGTATTACAGACACACATTACTATCTAGTAAAGGACGGGTCTTTTCACAGTCCTCGTGCGTCTCCAGAGCCTCCTGGTGCAGCCATCACCTGTCTGAAAACAAAACCAATACGCCTCGACTCATTAACTACTCAGATGCTGTTTGGTGCTGTTAAACAACAACCTTATGTACTGTTTGGCTAAAGGAACAACAATAAAGAACTACTCAGGAATAAATCATCTTTCTTACCCTGGCTGTGAGAAAGCCTCTGGCCCCAGGCCTCTCTGTTGAACCATCATGCCCTGGAAGTGCCCACCGGGTCGGGGGGGCCTGAACATGGTCATGCGTGTCTGACCTGGAGAGTAGGGCAGCTGCTGGGGCCGCTGCAGGGCTTCCATCAGGTGTGGATGGGGTCTCTGGGTAGCATAGCGGCGTGGATCTGGGTATGGCTGGCCTGGATAAGGTATTCCATTTCCAATTCCACAGCCCTGCGACATCGCGTGTGGAGGTGGGACGCCGCCTTGCTGCATCCCAGGATGCAAGGCTCGAGGGTCATACATGAATCCCGATGGAGGCGGATGAAGGGGCTGCAGGCTCCGGTGGCGGGCGGCTGCATTGTGACTATCGAGGTCCAGGATTTCTTTAGGAGACTCGGGCTGCTCTGAGCCCTCAGTAGGAGCCAGCTTAGCAGGGCTGCGGCTGCCTTCACACCTCTCTTCCTCTGAGCCTCCAGAGGGTGCTCCTACTTCAGACAGCAGACCAGGACCGGCAGAGCCCTCCGAACCCAGTGGCGACATGCTGCTGTCTTTTGACTGATGGGTGGAGCGTGCACTGGCCACAGGCAGGTATGGGACAGGCTGATAAGGAGGCCGCTGCCACTCTTTGGGAGGGTAAGCCCCTCTGCTAACAGTCTGGTTGAGGGGCTGAGCTTGGGTGTGGGGCTGTGTGTAGTAGACTTGCTGCTGGTGCTGGTGTGGTTGGTAAATATGTCTCAGAGCTTGTGGGTGCTGCTGTCCCGGTACTTGGTAGGTGTAGGCATGCCCCCCCTGCTGTTGGAGGCTGGGGTGGTTGTTGACATGCTGGTTGTGATAGGGGTGTTGAGCAGACGGTGGCATGGGTCTGCTCATGCTCGTCTGGGTGTAGTGTGGGTGTAGAGGACTCTCCATGCCATACTGACCCAATGTTCCATTGGCCTGACCTTGAGAGTGAGGAGGCCCAGCTGGATGGTGACTATGTGACGACCCTCTCTGAGCCTGGAGACCCATCAACTGGGCTAGATTAGGGTTTGGACCAAGAGCTTGGTGTTTATAATTAACAGGAGGTCCAGGTGACATCATGGTAGGCCGAGGAGAAATGGCTGGGCCCTCCGATTTGGGCCCACTTGTGGGCTCACTTGGTCTCTGATCTCCGAGCTCTGCAGGGCTGGGTTGGGAGGGTAATAATGGAGAAGGATGACTGGGTGGCAAAGAGGTGAGAGGGGCAGGCTGAGCTCCATGGGTGATGCTCTGTGACACCCCCTGAAAGGGGTTGCTCTGAGAAGGTCCAGGGTGACTCTCTGCATTAGGGATCATCTGCTGGGTTGGGCTCTCAGGTGAGATCATAGGTCGAATATGCGGTTGTTGCTTTTGCTGGTCCTGCTTGTTCTCCGACACCTGCTGAGAGGAACTCTGACACTCAGAAGCACAGAGTGGCCGTAAGTTCTGTGGAAAGCGTGCAGGACTCTGAGTGTTGTGCTGTGGGCCGTCGTGTGGAGCAGGTTCAGTGGAGCTGGTGATGCTCACATGGGCTACAGCAGTAGTGGCGCGGTTACTCTGAGCATCAAACTCCTGCTCGATGCTCTGAGATGAAGTCTTTGTGAGCTCTTGTCCAAACGTCTCCTCCTGTGATCTGCTCACATCTAAGGCCAGAGGGGTGTGCATCCCCTCTGCTGGTGAGCTGAACCGTCCCGTGGTGCTAGGGGCTTCCTTGATGACTGAAGAGCCGTGTTTGTGTAAGGAAGCTTCATTAGAGATGCTGGCTGCCATCTTGTTCTCAGATGTGGAGACTGTAAACAAACAGAAAAGTTAGAGTGGAGGACAAACCCAACCAGGTGCTGTAGCTCATGGGCCACTTCTCAACACTCGTAGGTGAAGGACCTGGACCTGGACCTGGACCTGGACCTGGCGACATGAGTCGAATGACTCAGATCTGCTGAAATGGGCTGATGTGAAACTATCAGCAGTTGTTTTTGTGTGGCTGAAATCCACTCTGGGGTCATCTGGGGTCATCAGGGGAAAATCTCTGATCCTGCCAAGTAAAACTTGAAGCTGCTGCCCTGACCCTAACCCTAACCACAGAACCTTCTGCCACTCTAACTAAACACCTGAGAGAGAACATTTAATCCAATTTTCCTAAAGACAGAGAAAAGTTGTATGCATGCTTCATTGGTGCAGGGTTAGGGTCTAATGACAAAGAACGGTGGGTCTACCTTTGGGGTCCGGGTCGGCCTGCTGTGGGGAAAGTTGGTCTGGCCCTTTGTCTCCGGCAGGATGCAGCAGCTGAAACTCATGGGTAGGAGGGGGCTGCTTGGAGGAGTGAAGTCCTGATGGGGGCCCTGGCTGCTCAGAGTTGCCCGAGTGCTGAAGAGGGGCACCAGCAGGCGGTCCAGAAGAGGCTGACAGCTGCTGTAGGGCCAACATCTCTGGACTTTCCAGCATTGAAGACAAAAGCGTCCTGCCAGAGGAGTCTGGCTGGGGGACAGGGGCCCGTGAGGACAGGGGCCCCAGAGAGCTGGCTGCAGCAGACATTTGATAGTGAGAACTAGAAGGGTGTTGGGGGTATCCAGCAGCTTCCGGCCAAGGTTTATGGCCCACTGGAGGGGGGATGCCACCATAACTGAAGCTGTGCTGGTTCATAATGCTGGGATCCTGCATACGCATGCCATCCAGTCGGTCCTGGCCGTGGTGACTCATACCAGGCCACATGTTTGATATGCCCATAGCTGGAGGCCTGACGCCAGGGTAGCTGTGCTGAGCTGGTCCCTCTGGCCTTGAGAATCTGTTGGGCATCGGCTGCATGGAGGGGCCCTCTGGACGGTGGTGGGATGGATACATGCTGGCTTCAGGAGGCGGCCCAGGATGAAGGGCCATAGGACGTGGACCCAGGGAAGGGCCGTGAGTCGGACCCACGTAAGTGGGCTGCCGTTGAGGTTGTTGGCTAGGATACGGTCCAACTGGATACCTGGAGCTCATGTGATGAGCTTCAACCATTCGATGCTGGGCAGAATGGGGGGGTTAGTAAGATTTCCCTCCGTTAAAGAAGGAAAAGGCTTAAAGCATTCAGTATGAGCTCTTACCTGCATGTTGTAACTGTGAGGCAGGTGGCTGAAGCTGGGCTCTCCGTGCCTTGGAATGTGAACTGGGTAGGCAAAGCGAGGATCCATTGGCACTCTTTGGGCATACATCTGAGGACCATTAGAACCAGTGGGAGGACAAAACTGGTGAGAAAACAGAGATGAGACTAGAGCTGAAACAACTAATCGATTTAATCGATTATAATCGATTATTAAAATAATTAACAGCTTTTTTAGTCATCGATTTGTTGTTTAATAATCACATTTTACTGCATAAAGTCTATTTTTACCACAATGTGACATCGGTTACAATCAGTTAAATTTGCCGCCAGTGTGTGGCAGTAATGAGCCACTGATCTACCAGTGGAGCCGTAGAAGAAGAAACGAGCCAATAAGTGCCCTCGGTTTTCATGACGTAACACGTTACTGACGCTCATCTTGCTGTGAGAGATGGCGGAACAAGAAGAAATACGGAAGAAAAATAGAAGCGACAAAACTGAAGAGAAACCCCGGACAAAAACCTCACGAGTATGGGAGCACTTCACTCTAGATGCCATGAAAAGACGGGTGACCTGCAAAATATGCAAAAACCATCTAGCATGGCACGGAAGCACGACGTCCCTAAGTGAACATTTGAGACGAAAACATGTGGGGGCTGATGCAGCAGAGGAAGCGCCAGCCCGGTAAGTAACAGAAAATAAGCTAAATATAGTGGTCCATCACTACACGCAGATCCAATGTGTGACTTAGTGTTTTAGCTGAGTTTGTTATACTGGATGTTAAACATGTTTTATTGCCGCGTCAGTCTACGGTGTTCTACTTCTGATTGACTAGATGCAATCGTGAATCTCCTCCGTGTTGTGTATCATGCGCTTGCCAAATTTAGCACGTCTGTTTATAAGAATGTTCTCGTTAAGAGAAAAACGGCACAAACCCATAACTATGTTCCTCATTCAAAAAAGGACAACTCCGCGGTGAAAAATTTACAGACGAGCTGTGTCCAGGTGAATATAACGCTGCATAGTTGTACGCTTTCAATTTTTAAATACAGGAGAAATTCAGAAAGTCATTTTTTTTAACTATTAAAAGGCTGTTTTACCGTCTAACGCTGTAAAACGCCTCACAACACATTTTTGTCATGTTTCTTAAACAGTATCACACAAAATAAACATTTTTCACATTTCTCTAGCTAATTTAAACACTCCCGACTCAAAGTAAAAACCTCATGAGCTTCTTACTTAGAGCTTTTTAATAGTAAAAAAATTAGAATTTTTTCTGAATATCTCCTGTTGCGGGCTATTTTGTAGAAAGTAACCCTCAAAATAAATGATCACTGTATATTATTAATTAATTCAAATAATATAATATTGATTTAGTGTTGTAGTGTGTGTGCTGCTTTATTTTATATGTGTACTTATGTCAGTCTATTTGTGTTTCTTATGCAGAAAAAAACAAGCAACGATGGACAACTACATGGGGAACAAGACACTCACCCCCCAGCAATTCATACCACTTACAAACTCTATTCTAAACATGCTGGTAAAAGACATGAGGCCACTATCCATGGTGGAAGGAGCAGGCTTCCAGCTAATGCTAAAAAATTATTCTGGACTGATATTTTGCACTGTTTAGCTCATTTTACACCGCTGACTCTGTTCATGTGCAATAAAATAGATTGCAGTCAACTGCACAATTCTCTTATGTTTTTTTTTCTTAACTCAAATGTATTCATCACTTGTATAGGTTAAATAGCTAAACAATAACAAACCGATTAATCAATTAATCGAAAAAATAATCGACAGATTAATCATTTATGAAAATAATCGTTTGTTGCAGCCCTAGATGAGACCCTTTTGAGAACCACATCAGGCTGCTGCTGACGCAACAGAACAGTTCTGCTGATACCTGCTGTCCTGGATGGTACATGCCCCTGAAGCCTCCCTCATGAGGATGCTGCTGGTTCGGAAGAGCCGGCCCATTGCTCCAGTGAGAGGGGAGGGGTGCTCGTGCTCGCCTGGTGTCCTCTTCCTCGGACCGTGTGCTGCCTTTGCCTCCCTGTGAGCTTCGCTTGCGTTGGACTTGCTCCGTAGCTCTGACCAAGCTTTCAGGTCCCAAACTTTTATGGTTACGATTCCGTTTTTTGTCTTTGCGTTCCTTGTCCTCTCTGCTGATGTGAAACTCTTCGTCCGTGTCGCCATCCTCTGACGGGAAGTGTTTCAACAAGGCCCGGTTAAAGCACCGCTTCAGAGACTCTGCCATCACGGTGTATTCTAGAAGAAAGAAGAGTCCACGTTAGTGGTGCACGTGGAATTTTCTCACAACAGACCAAGCGTGGCGTGTGTGACGC